TGAACTAGTTGATGGAGAATCTGGTAGTGTTACCTGTTATTATAACAATGTAATATACAGTAACTGTATAATATTCTCTTTCTATTCTAGGTCAAGTTATAATAAATACTGAACCTAATGAACTAGTTGGTGGAGAATCTGGTAGTATTACCTGTTCTTATAAAAATTTAATAGACAGTAACTGTATAATATTCTCTTTCTATTCTAGGTCAAGTTATAATAAATACTGAACCTAATAAACTAGTTGATGGAGAATCTGGTAGTATTACCTGTTATTATAACAATGTAATAGACAGTAACTGTATAATATTCTCTTTATATTTTAGGTTAAGTTATAATAAATACTGAACCTAATAAACTAGTTGATGGAGAATCTGGTAGTGTTACCTGTTCTTATAACAATGCTTATATAATAACTATATCTCGATCTGGTGGTTATAGTAATATAGCTAACTGTTTGGTTTCTATACAAGAACAAGACTGTAATATCCTAAATCCTGGATCTCAAAACAACTATATCGACTATAGAGGATTCTATACAGCATCTAAAACAACTACTAGTTTAACTATACATATTGATACAGTATCTGAACAAAGAGATGATGGTTACTGGGAATGTAGAGTGGGTGAACTTCCATCTGAATCATTTCAAATCAATAAAACTATTAATGTTAAAGGTAAGTCTATGTTACTAGAGCTTCATTATTTCATCTAGTTTTAATTATATAGACTCTTCATAAATAATCATTTATAACTAAAACAAATAAATTCGAAATGTTGTCTGCACTTGAAATAGATATCAAAGGAAAACATATTCCAAGATGACGAGTAGGAACGATATGAGATTAATAAACAGGAAAGGAACGACTTTTGAATTGTTAATTCCTACAAATCACATATTAATAGTTTTCAATTTTATTTTGCCTTGTTATTTCTAGTACCAGTTAAAGGTGTCGAAATAGAAAATAAAAACAGTCTAAATCTAGTAAATGGAGTGTCTACCACAATGAATTGTAAAGTCACCAATAATCCTGATCCAGTAATAAATTATAGATGGTTTATAGTAGAAACAGATCAAATATTATCAACATCATCATCTTTCCGATTGACACCAAATAAAAATCAAAATGGTCAAACTCTATCATGTTCAGCAGACAATGGATATGGTAGTAGTAAATCTGATACTGTTATTCTAGATGTCAAGTGTAAGTATTTTATAAAAATATGTAACTATAATTTAATTTTGCCGCACCATATCATAACAAAAAAATTTGATCGGTCGTAAACGAAAACGATGATTTGAATAATATGAAAATTTAGTACAAAACATGAAAAAGAAAATATTCTGAAAATCAAGATAGTACTTACAATTTAAATTTACGCTAAAACTCTAAATATAATAGGTATAAAAATTGACCAAAATTTCACATACCATCTGAAAAAAAATCTTTGTTACAACAGATTATATTCTAGCAGGTTAATATAGACTAAGCTTAAATCATTTTGAAAAAAATAGCATCTAAGTTGAATAATCCAATTTTATAATTCTGCTGTTCTATTGTGTATTTCTGTTGTTAGATAAACCAAGTATATTTTATATTTCTGTTGTCAGATAAACCAAGTATATTTTATATTACAGATAAACCAAGTATATTTTATATTACAGATAAACCAAGTATATTTTATATTACAGATAAACCAAGTATATTTTATATTACAGATAAACCAAGTATATTTTATATTTCTGTTGTTAGATGAACCAAGTATATTTCATATTACAGATAAACCAAGTATATTTTATATTACAGATAAACCAAATATATTTTATATTTCTGTTGTTAGATAAACCAAGTATATTTTATATTTCTGTTGTTAGATAAACCAAGTATATTTTATATTACAGATAAACGGAGTATATTTTATATTACTGATAAACCAAGTATATTTTATATTACTGATAAACCAAGTATATTTTATATTACAGATAAACCAAGTATATTTTATATTACAGTTGTTAGATAAACCAAGTATATTTTTTATTACAGATAAACCAAGTATATTTTATATTACAGATAAACCAAATATATTTTATATTTCTGTTGTTAGATAAACCAAGTATATTTTATATTTCTGTTGTTAGATAAACCGAGTATATTTTATATTACAGATAAACGAAGTATATTTCATATTTCTATTGTTAGATAAACCAAGTGTAAAGATAGAACCTGAAGTATCTGGTAACTTTAAAATAATAGAAGGTAATACAGTAGAATTAAAGTGTACTGTAACTGATGCTAATCCTAATGGTAGTTTGAGTTATAAATGGTATAAAGATACATCAACTACTCTACAAGGAAAAGTTGGTTCTACAGTTCAAATATCACAGAAAGGAGTATATACATGTTCTGTTTCTAATGGAATTGGTACACCAGGAATATCAGATTCTATTACTATAGATGTTTTATTTCCACCAAGAGTTACCCTGACACCACAATATAGTATTATAGAATCTAATACCCTCACTATACCCTGTATAGCTAAATCTAATCCTGTACCTAGTAATTATACTTGGTCTGGACCTAATAACTTGTTACAATCTCAACAGAATTTAACTATATCTAGTATCAATAGAGATCAAACAGGACAATATACATGTACAGTTAGTAATATCATGATACCAACTACTGGTGGACAACAAACTAGTATGGTAACTGATGATACATTCGTTACAGTTTTGTGTAAGTGTTAATATTTTCTTTGATGATATCCAATCATTTGCATAATTTTATGTACTTTCAAGAATCAAATATTTATACTTTTTTTCTTTCTGAAAAGAGAAAGTTATAGAAGATGTTAATGTATATGGACAGGTTTTAGTTTTTGTTATTTTTTGTCGCTTTTAAATTATGATGCCAAAATCGGATAGAAATACACTTGATACATTTTTTCTGAATGCCTAATTCACTACCTTTTCAAATATACTTCATTTAGCTGCACCAAATCTGCCTAGTACCATAACCATTCAACCACCAACCATAATTTGTGTTGAATGGACACCAGGATTTAATGGTGGAGCATCACAAAGTTTTATAGTTCAACATTCTACTGATGATAAAATATGGGTCAATTCGTCCACAATACCAGATGGTACCAATAACGGTCGAGTTGACTATTGTATAGAAGGATTAGAACCAGATACTAGTTATTATATCAGAGTGATAGCTAGTAATAAATATGGTGAAAGTATGACAGGTATGATTTGTCAGATAGAATCTTATTAACTTCGAGACAAAATAGATCTTAAATACTGGACATCAGACATTCGTGGCGTAAGTATTGTTGGCACAGCCTTTTGGAAAGTAAAAATAATCATGTTATTTTGAATTTTAGCTAGTTTTCTGGGATTTAACAAGTCCACCGACTGCAGTAAGAATATTAATTGTGGTGACACCAATGACATCAATACTCTTTATAGCAGTGGTTATAACAATGGACTTGGTGCTGGTATTGGAATAGGTGTAGGGATATCTATAGCTATAGCAGTGATGGTTGCTACAGCAATATTTATTTATAGATATTGGTCAGGTCTGAGATTAATATTATTTGCTAAGATTCTGGTTCTGGCAACACACTTAAAAATTGATATTTGCTATGTGTGTTTATGTTTTTCCACATCAAAATACTTTAAAGATGGTAATTAATGTTAACAGATTGCAACTAATTAATGTATTTACTTGGATTATTGCTAGAAAAGGTTGGAAGAAGCAAACATTTTCTCTCCTTTTATTTAAGGCAAACGAAAGAAAGTTGAAGAAAAGTAAGTTTTTACATTAGAAAAAATAAACGTGTTTTAATAACTGATCTGGCAGTTTAAGA